ACCGAACCCATCGAGCGGGAATTCTAAACAGCTCGGAGCCAATTCCTGGAGTCTCCTCCAAAACACAAAAGCGGTGGATGGTTGCGAAGTCCATTTCGTAGCACCTGAGAAACCATGGTGGAAACCATAACGTTTGTTGGTATTCACGTTGGGGAATCGGAATAATATCATTCCAGGGTTTCTTAGGTGGTGCGAAATGGATTTTGTCCATCCACAGTATGTCTTTGGGGCAGTGACAAGGTCGCTTGCAACATGTTTTGGCTTGCGCTCCAACAGCCAGACTGGGGTCAGAAAGCACCAGGCAATACAACCTTAAAAAGCACCAAGACCCCCAGAGAATGTGAAAAGCGGATGTCAGTGACCTGGTACCCACCTGCGCTTTGAAGACCTGAAGCCAAAAACGACTGCATGCATACTTGTGCTTTGGATGGCCCTGAAGGATGGACGAACTCCTGCACCACGTTGAAACCATGGGAGGCCATCGTTTGTTGGTATTTGCAGGGGAATCACCATTCTAGGGTTTCTTAGGTGGTGCAGGATTCCGTCCATCCACAGTAGTACCCTCCCTCCAATCATGGAAGTGGACAATTCCCGAAGCTTCCCCGTCCGCCAACGCCTCCTGTCAGCTTCCATGGTTGTCGGAGGGAGGGTAGATCTTAGAACAAAGGGATCCTAGCAGAAGCGTGACAAGACGACGCTTTGGGAGTTCTGACCGGCGATCCTCGACGCCCATCTTTCGCCCCAGGCATTTTGAGGCTCAGCACACTTGTCAGGTTGGGTTTTAGAGGGAAACCAGCGGGAACAGGGTTGTGGAATCAAGGGTTTTTTCCCCCACTTCTGTGATACAAGGGAATCTCCCCCTGTATATGGGGTCTTAGTCTTTGGGAAGCCCTTTTTGTTGTATCACAGAAGTGGTCATTTCCCACAACCCTGAGCGGGAACGTCCATGATTTTGTTGGCTCCCCCCCTTTTTTTATAAGGCAGGCTTTCGGGCTTCAAACCAGGTTGAGCCAAGTGCCAAATGTCAGCTGTTTCCCGCCCCAGAGAGCCAGGCAATGGGGCCAAAGCTCTTGCCAAATCCTACTGGGGGGGGGGTATTCTCCATTTTATGGTTTTTGGGTAGGCCAAGCAAAATCAAAGAAAGGGCCCTCTGGCCAAATCCTACTGGGGGGGGGGATTCAATCCTCTTTTTTTTTTGCGGGGTAGACCAAGCAAAATCAAGGAAATCCCGGGGGGCGGGGGGTATTCTCCTCTCTTTTTTTGGGGGGTGGACACGCAAAATCAAAGAAATCATTTTTTTTGGAGTACCCCAGATCGCCCGATATGAACCCCCCTCCCCATCTCCCTGGTTCCCCAAAAGAAGACCCGAACTTGCGTCCTGATGGTTTTTGGAGCAACCCGGGGTGGGTTTGAATCCCAGAAGTGCTTGCCGAGTCGCTTCGAATCTTCGCGAAGGCATTTGCCACAGGCGTTGCAAGAAGAGCCTGGGACCCGGCCCAGCGGGTTTGGGGAAGAGTGAAGTCCCCTTCAAGGACTTCATCGGTTGAGCTTTTGGTTGAGTCTTCATTTAGCGCCAGTGGGGAAGAAGCCCTCTCTTTCCTTTTCTTTTGTGGACTCAGGTCAGAGGACCTCCAAAAATCCTCCTTTAGTTCGGCTGGGTTGCCCAATCGATTCCGCAGTTTTTCATTGTTTCGGGGAAAGGGTTCCCCTTGAAAGTCAACCAACCAAAAAAGGATGCCCTTTTTTTCCCGTGGCAACTGGGCATCTGAGTAGGTGTGTCTCCTCTGAACATTCCATGGTCCCTTTCAAATAATCTAGGGGTACCTTCCCCATTCTTTCCAGAGATCCTTCTTTTCAGGAAACCATCAAGAACCCAGGAGAATCCGGTTTTTGAAAAGAGCGATGGTTGAAAAGAATGGAAAAGGAATCAACCCCTAGAAATATGCCAGCAGGATTCCAGCTTTCCCTGATGGACGAAGTTTTGCACCTGAGAAGCTCTGAATTCTGATGGCTTCCCCGACAAATACCGAGCGGATTTCAAGCGGCGCGAAATGGAGCTCGTCCATCAGTAGGATTCCACCCCTTCAGGGCAGGGTCTCCTCCAAAACTATGTGGGGCCGAACAAAAATCGCCGAATCTAGACTAAGTGTGTTTTGGGTGAGAATGTGGCACCAATTTGGTGTCTTCCCGAGTGAAACTCAGATGTCTAAAATTTGGAAGGCTATGGAAGCTCCCGTGAGACAGTGGGGTGTCTTTTTGCAGGGTTTCCCGTTGTGGCGTTTTGGGGTTTCGCGATTTTTAGACATCCCCAAATGTTGTTCAGTGCCACTTTCCTGCCCCTTGGGCAGTTGCTTGACTAAAGATGGCCTACCCCACTTGCCGTTCGCCGTTCGGGTCAGCCGGGGAATCATTCGAGGTTGGGCGACCATGTGATGCAGTTGTACTCAGCAGGTCTCACCCGACCGTTCTGAAGTACGGGAGTTTGTTTGCTGCTGTTCAGTAGAGAATGACCTTCCGGGTGTTGGGAATGAATTCGGATCTGGGGGTTCCCGAATGAAGGAAACCGCCACTTGGACGTCTCTTTTGCGGGCTCAGACTCCATCTCTCATTCCCTGCCTATCGATCCGATCGCAAGCTTGTTTAGACAGATGTGAGCAGCCGCCTGAGGCGCCTCTCCAATACCGGCTGCGCTTTATTCACGGATGTGAAAGGTGTGCAGACCGACAATTCGCCATTTGAGGTGTTGTCAACAGACTCAAACATCAAGTTGTAAACAGCTGTAGTCTTGAGCAGAAGAACGCCCCCCTGGGGAAAAATCGGAGTTCTCTTGGCATGCCCCTGTTGGAATTGCTTGGGACTCAAATTCTTCCTGCAGCAAAAATGTTTTTGGAGGGTACCCTTTTCAGGTTTAGACGGAAGGAACCACGCGGATTGTACTGAATCCGCGCCCGGATTCAAGCAGAGCAGAACCTGGATGTGTGTCAACCAGAAGCTCGACTCCCCCCCCCCCACCACGGCCTTTTCTCCCCACGCTTCGCTCTTTGCGCACCTTGCTGCTCTCGGAGTCTTCTTTTTCTCCCTGCTCTTCTCCCCCATGTTCCCCCCCCCCCCCATTTTTCCACGATTCCTCCTGTTTCGCTCTTGCGCTTGAAGGCCGGTCCAGCAGTCAAGTCACTGTTTGTTCCGAGCATGTTGCGTGACACTCGGTGGGCGTTTGCGAAAATAGTCGGCTGTGCACAGTTGCATGGTCCTCGCCATACCTCAATTTTAGCACCGCCGTCTTTGAGACATTGTCTCGTTCCGTTAAAATTGGATGCCCCGTGACGTGTTCAAGCTTCACCCAACCCAGCCGCTTTACTCCCTTCACCACTTTCGTACTTCCTATCCACGTTTTGGCTCAGCGTAATGCATTCGGGGTGGGTTTCAGAGCATATTCAGAGTATATTTACATAGTCGATGGGTGCCCTAAAGTTTCATCCCCAAGCCCACTCATCGTATGCCTCACTTTCTGCATCGTCCCTCGAAATATATTGACGTACTTTCAGGTGTTTTTTCTTCAAAAAACAGCAACATGCATTGTTGCTTGATGTGTTGCGGTTGGATGCCTCTTGACATGTTCCACTTTCATCCCCGCGCACAAGTGTTCCGTTGATAGAAATGGCATTTAAGCAATTTCAGGGAGCAGAGTGGTTGCTGGAGATAAAACTTGGACATGTTAATCTGGCCTCATTATTTTACCATGATCAAAGTCACCCCCTAAGTGGTGGGTTAAAGGGACACAACCCCATTTACTGACTTTGATAACCCCCAGACATCGTCAAACTAATGACCCCTGTTAATGGTAGCTCTTTCCTCTACAGTTCACGACGGTTCAGATTTGAAGATGTTTTCAGTATGTTTGCTTTGTCATCGTTCGAACCTTGACATCTTTAAGTCTTCTTCCCAATCCCACCCTGCTTCGATTCCACTTGCACCTTTGGTGTGTGCAGCGGAAAAAACGGACGCTTGCAACATTTGACCCTGCTGGCTTCTTTTTGGTCCTCTCCACTCAAAACAGCAGCCAATTAGCTAGAACCGTGGTTCGGTGCTCCCCTGCCTTTCATGTCTCTTCTGCTCAAGTTGGGGTTGATCCCCCAAAAGCGATTCGGACCCCTCTGGAATTGGTTGCTCATATTAGGTCAAAAGCTGCCAGAGGTTCTGCTGAATCCTGGGTTTCCAGTCCTCAAATACTCCAAAGCGGATGGTCCAAGACTCAGTTGTTCAGTGGCACCAATGATTTTCCTTTTTTTTGGTGGCTGCCCCACTAAAAACGGTCCAAGCCCCAAAAAGGGTTCCCTTTTTTTCCAGGGTCACTGAACAACTGAGAAGATCTTGGGACCAGCTGCGTGTACAGTGTACAGAGACGCGCACTGAAGAAAAGAGGTCAGCGCTCGACATGTTGGAGCAGTCAGGTGTCGGGTTCCGCGGATACAACTTGGCCGTTTTTTGTTTTTGTTTTTTTGTTTTCTCGAATATCCAAGCCCTACCTAGATCCCCAGTTGCCCTTATTTTCCAGCTACTTTTGCCAAATTACGGGCTACCAGTGGGAAAAGTGGCTGAACAAAAGTAGCTACTTGGGGTTCCAGGTAGGAGGAAGAAGGCGATATCGCATCCTCGTGTTCCCCTTGTAGGCTGGCGCCCAAAAAATGGTTGCATAGGTCGCAACGCGATGTCACAGGCTTGAGTGAGCCCTTGGGCAGTTGTTTGAGGAGGAAATGGAACTGGACCAATCAAGATTAGCCTCTGAATGGCTGGTTCAAAGGGAAGGCCATCAAAATAGTTCTGAGAACCCCGGACAATGTGATTGCTTTCCTTTTTGTTTCCGCAGTTCCCCGGGCAGACCGACCCCTTCATTGCAATCGGGGGTTGACTGGTTGATGCGAAGATGCGCAAACATATGCGTCAGGCGCAAGTTTTTTTTGCGCAGCTTCGCAGATTTTTCTGCGCTTTTGGAAGCGCAGGACTTGGGAGAGGACAGATCCCTGAGCTTCTTCTTCGCCTGTCTTCTCTACAACCTCTGCAGGTGGGACACGGAGCTTTGTGAGCGAATCGACCTGAATCTGACCTTGGGGTGTTCGGTGTTCGACCTCTTTGTGGGGAGCCATTTTTGTTCAATACTGGTGCCAAAAAAGGCGAACCTAGTGTCAGGTCCCAAAAGGGCAATTTTGAGACTGGGCAGTTCTTGCGAAGTTGGGCCCAGCGGGTGAGTGTCAACACCATGGACTCCCCAATCCGCCACCAACCATTTGTCCGTTCTCAGCTCCTCATTTGACCCCATCATACTGGGCAACATACTTGCACGCACCGGTTAGGATGGATGAAACACAATATGAATGTCATAGCCACTTACCACAGGACAATGTCCATCCACGGGGCAGGCTTGTCAATATTCCCTATATAGGGGTTTTTTGAAGCTGCGTGTTCAACGCGAGATGCCCCAGCACGGTGTGCCCCAACCACATGATCCTGCCAAATAGGGTGGGGGACACACGGGAAAGCACCTTGTTCTTGAACACGTGCTGCGGCTCGTTTTTGCTAAACGCAGACCAACCCTAAACCCACCATAGTCCAACGCACAATTTTAAATCCTAAACCAACCCTAAACCAACCCTAAACCAACCCTAAACCAACCCTAAACCAACCCGACCCTAAACCAGCCCAACCAAGCAAACCAAAAAACCATACACCCACCCTGAGACCAGCGCATGTGTTCGAAATTGAGCCACAACTGGTGTTCGGACTTGATCCCCCTTCTTAAATATGCTGCCCCCCGGGTAACGGCTGCTTTTCATTCCGATGGGATTCCTGGAACAACTGGCGTTTCGGGCGACTCGGTAGCTAAACGATCACGCGAAGGTCACCAGCTGCTCCGTACCACTTGGCCCGGCAAGATCATGGCGACCCTAAGATCCTTTTGCCAAGAAAAGCCCAAGACCATCCTTCGGGCGGGCACAAGAAGATTGTTGTGTAGAACATTATATGTTGTATATGGTGTTATTGATGTTCCGGTCAAGTTGTCAGACGTTTGCTGGAAGCAGTTTGTCATGTATGGCAGCGCAATGTCTCAACAACACCGGCAGCAAAAGTGACGCGCATCATGCGACACTGTTTGCGCAAGTGTCTACTATGCGCTTTGAAGCACTTTCGGATTTAGTACCGATTAGGACACACGTTTTTGATAGAGCCTCCTGAATGAAGGCGCTTGATGCTAAAGTGGCTTGAGACATTTCGGAAGGCTTTTGCGGGATTGAAGAAAGGAGCTAGAGGCCTGGAAAGTGCCGTGAAGCGCTCTAAAGCAACATGGCGGGGTGATGGTCCACCCCTTTTCCAAGCACCGCATGCACGTCCGAGTGTGATTGTGTTTGCACAACATGCTTGCCAGGGGGCAAAATGACTTTGGAGTCTAGATTGAAGATTAAAGATTCAATTGACTGGAATCTTCAATCCAAGATTAGGTATTCAACCCGCTTCATGATGTTTCATGGCGCTTCAACAAGACTTCATTCGGCAAGATGCCAGGGGTGCCCAACATGAGTTCACATTGTTTGATTCCAGTTACGTTTCTTGGGTGTGTCTTTTCTTACCGCCAAAATCGCGGCTTTCCTCTCGGTTTCCGCTTTAACGGCAAGAGAAGGGCGTATACCCTCAACCAAAAAGGGCCCATTTGCTTCCAGTTCGTCTTCCCTTGGCCCAACTCTGGGGATATTCTCCGCAAGATGCATAGTTTGTCCACCCTTTTGGGTGTACCGAACAAAAACCAGATGGTGACAGTTGCTTGGATACGAAAAACCTGTTCAGCAAGTAGGGTGTGGCTAGAAGTTTGGCAGCGCCCAAAGCTCGAACTTTAACGGGTGGCTCTTCCAACATGGTTATCAAGATGTACGTAAGCCTTACAGTACAGCCCTACTACAATCCCCTCTAAACCAGGGAGTAGAACCTATACACAGAATTCTACAACTAGGTGTTCTTTGGGCGTTGCTGAGGTGCTGTTTGTTTGTAAGAATGATTCGAGTGATCACGGTAGTGTTAATTCACATATGGGGGGTTGATCAATATTCCTGGCCCCCAAATGACCATGGGTAACAATTCTACTTAGTGTGAATTATCATTGTTTTCGTGGTTTCCCCCAATGGTCACCCAATGTATCACGGAGCTTTTGCTCAACCCCCTTGCTGGATGGCAGGGCTGGAAGGCCTGGCTAGAGTTTCTTCTCTCGATTTGGGTCAGCAGCTCTTGAAGCTCGCAGGTCGCGGGAGGACAAGGTGAGGGCGAAGACGGGGAACCCCATGCTGGATGAGTTGGGAGACGATGACCTCAAGGCGAAGATAGGAGCCATGTGCGATTGCATGCGATTCGAATCGCCGATCGATTCAGAGAAAGAACATCAAGAACCAGTGTGCTGTTCTTTTGTGTTGTGCAGTCAATCGGGATTGAGATCATACCAGCGGGGATTTGGAGGGTACTTGTTGAGGGGCAGTCGTTGATAGCTGGGGGCAGCGCCCCTGGTCAATTCCTTTTTTCTCGAAGGGCGCGGCGAAACACCAATGGTAACATGGGGGCGGGTTCCCGTGGAAAGTTAAGTAGCGGAGTGTATCTCCTGACTCGGCGAAAGCGGCCGCCAGGCCTTGGAAGAGTTCTACGAGAGGATGCCGGCGGAAGCCAGGCGGCAAGCTGCTGGTGAAATTTCGGCGAGCATCTTGGGATGGCGCGGGTGACATGGTTGACAAACTTGGTACATATATTTGGCTGTGGCTCAAAATTAAAGAGCTGGGGCAAACCGCGGGTTTTGGTCCATGTTTCCACTTACCAGGGTTCCATTTTGGAATTCCGGTTTTTTGAGCCACAGCCATATTTCTGTAGGGGGGACCCTTTGTGGGGATGGCCGGGATCCCTGGCCCATCGAAGGGTTCAGGCGAGTTGTCCACGGGGAATTTCTGAGAGGCCGAGTCACGAGTCCAGAGCGGTCAGAACTCTTGCAGCTGAGTCTCTGCTGTGGAACTCGTGAGGTCATGGATGGTTGCGAAATCCATTTCGCACCACCTAAGAAACCCTGGAATGTTGATTTTACTGTGAATACCAACCATCAAAGGTTTGTGATGGTTTCCAAGTGGTGCAGGATTTTGTCTATCCACAACATTGAAGCTCGAAGCAATGAACCAAGTTGCCCTGGCTCATGCATAATCGATGTGGTCTCCACCTTTGAGAGAGGAGTTCTTTTTCGACAGCAACCAAATATCCTTTTTGGCCACACGCGGAATACCCAAACATCACCCCTGAATAGCACCTTGGCCACAGATCGGAGTCTGCACAGGTATGTGGGGAAAAATGGAGTGAGCGTTTGTGGTTGAATATGTTGAATGATTCTTTAGTTGAGTCCTATTTTCTTTTCCAAGTTGCCTGTTCTCTGGTTAAATCTAGTTTGTTTACTTGTTCTCCAACCAAAAAATGGTTCAGTTCGTGTTCTACCTTTCGGGTCACATTGACAGCAGTCTTCCAGCCGTGTCCCATGTTTTTGGAGCGATCTTTTGTGGCAAATCTCAGGAAGATTTGGTCGCCCTGCAAAAATGGATTTCGGTTTCCTTTTAACACCGCGCAAAAGGGGGCACCAACTCAACAGAAGGAGCCACACACCCTCGTACTTCCAGAGATGGGCGCCGCGAGGCCAGTGCAGAACGGGGACGTGGACCCAGGGCCAAAAGCGCTGGCGCTGAGGTTGCGGAGCTGGGCGTTGCAGAGAGGCGAGCCGCGATTTTGTCTTGGTGCGTGAAATTGCGGATTGATTGCCGGGGCCCAGACTTCGGGGGCTTGCATTTCTGGGTGGGTGGGGCTGGCGGGCGGGGGTTCATTTGTGCACGTGGTTGGTCCAACTGGTCATTTGTACACGTGCCATGTTCAGAATTCATGGAAATTACCGGCAAATCGGCCCGGTCATCCGTGCACGTGGTAATAAAAAAGGGGGGCGTTTTGCATGTTTTCGGAAAGGTGTTCGAGTTTCCAGACATCACGCTTGCCATCCACCCAGCCCCATCCCCCCCCCCATTGTGCGTGACTTGGTTCGTGTGAACATCGAAGCACACCATCCCCCTTCCCCCCCCCCCCCACCGCTTCCCACCGACGCTTACCATCCACCCACCCCCATCCCCCCCCCATGGTGCGTGACTTGGTTCCCGTGAACATCCAAGCGTACCCCCTCACCCCTTTTCCCCGCCGACACTTGCCGTCCACCCAGCCCCCCCCCCATTGTGCGTGAGTTGGTTCGCGTGAACATCGAAGCTTACCACCCCCATCCCCCCCTGCTCCCACCGACGCTTAGTTTACAATTTATCAGTCCCTGATTGCTACCATGGCTCGCAGGATACCAACCCCTGCTACCCCACTTGCTAAATGACACCCACCCACCCACCCACCCACCCACCCACCCACCCACCCACCCACCCACCCACCCACCCACCCACCCACCCACCCACCCACCCACCCACCCACCCACCCACCCACCCACCCACCCACCCACCCACCCACCCACCCCACCCCACCCACCCACCCCACCCACCCACCCACCCACCCCACCCCACCCCACCCCACCCCCCCACCCCACCCACCCCACCCCACCCCACCCCACCCACCCCACCCCACCCACCCCACCCCACCCCACCCCACCCCACCCCACCCACCCACCCACCCACATCCACCCACCCACCCACATCCACCCGCCTCAATTCACTCAAGAAGTGAATGCAAGAGGAGCGCACATGTTCTGGTGTCAGGCAGCACCGGCGGCGCCTCCCCAGTGGTGTCGAAGCTGTGCCGTTGCGCAGCTGGCGGCTCTGTGCAGACCAAGGCGCGGAAAACGCCGCCACAGGCTGGCAAAAGCGCTGCGCCGACGTTTGGCACCACTCAGATTCCTGGACGAAGAAACGATCTGGGAAGACCATTTTAGTGGTAAGGGAGAAGGCTGTTCTTTTTCTAATCTACTCCGGAAGCGAGAACATCTTACGTTCTTGCCATTGACTAAGAGGATGAACATAGAAACGAGTGAAGTCCCAGGTGTAGGGCTGAACATTGACCAAAGAGGGCGCGGACCGTCAAATGTCCAACGATGCGGCCGGTTTTTAAGTGCACCTCATCAGAAGCCTGAACAAAAAGCTCCTCTCCAAAAACAAACACGGAACCTCAGGCGGGTCATGAAGGACTATGTGTTCCTTTTAAACAGTTTTTCCTGTTTGAATGGTTGAAGAGGAGGTTAGCAAGACCAACCCTGGCTTTCCTCGAATCACCCGGAGAGCCTTTGTAAGAAGAGGCGAGCTTTTGGTGACCCACAACCACCACAACCACCACAACAACCACAACAACCACAATCACCACATCACACCCAATCCACATCAACCACCACCACAACAACCACAACCACCACAACCACCACATCACACCCACATTATCCGCAAATCCACAACAACCACCACCACAACCACCACAACAACCACAACAACCACAACCACCATATCACACCCACACCAACGGCAAATCCACATCAATCGCAACAACCACAACCACCACACCACGCCCACACCACGCCCACACCACGCCCACACCACACCACCACTCCCCCACCAACACCAACCACGGCTCCAATTTGGACCCATGGACATAGCCCCAGCCAGGTGCTGGTGGCCGAGGCGCTGCGCCTGCTTTGCCAGGACCAAGCCCAGCGGCGCCTTGGATCGAGAGCCGAACCCGGGGCTTGCCCTTGGGACCGGAGATGGCTCCCCCGGAAAAAAAACTGGAGGATTTGGAGCATGTGTGTGTCAGATTCGGGGTTTGGACCATTCAACTCAGAAAAGGAACCGCAGATTGGGTTCCCCTTTAACAACTCCACCAAGCAATCTTGGGGGGAGGGTTCTTTTCCCAGCTGCCCAGTGGATTCGTGGCACCCCTTTCTGCGAATTTTCTTCTGGGAAGATGGGTTCCCCAACAAAAAACTCCACCAACCAAGAAAGGGTGCATTTTTTCCCCCCCATTTTGGGCGTGAACTTTAAACCCACCTTGGGACCAAGCCTGGCCATCAAAGATGGATGTTTTGCGTGTGACTCGTTTTGGGAGTTGAATTTGAATGGGTGGCGGTCAGGCTTTTTGGTAGACATGTGGGGATTCATGTCCTTTCTGTGGCATCAAAGGGCATTTGTGGATTCGTGTCCAGCCACCTCCTTTCTGTGTCACGAAGTGCGCGTTTGGAGTTTGGGTTGCCATCGCATCATCTTTTGTTGAGCACGTGGGCCCACATTAAGGATTCCGCAACGTTCCTATTCTGAACCGAGATCCTCCCTGTTGCAGAACCACCGGAAATCAAAGGATATCCGAGTTGAAAATGCGATGGTCGCAAAGAATAGTACATAAATCAATTTGAAGAGCGGTGTGTGCATCCACCGGAGGTCTGTGGATTTGACAAGCCAGGACCCCCCCCCCTCTTCTTCATGGAAATGCATTGCAGGTTGAGTAGATCCAAATGTGTCTATTATATATACATATATGCATACGTAATACAGAAGGTTTGGTCAAACAATCCAGCTGATAGTTCATTTAGGACGGGTATGGAGGAACTCGTACCAAACTTCAAGAATCAATTTAGGGATACCTTCCCCATTCTTCCCAGGAGAACCTCCAGAAGTTCAGGAAAACCCCATCCAGTTCGTGAACATAACGATTGAACGGAGTGGTAAAGGAATCATCCCCTAGATTGACTGCCAACCCCTCTCGATTCCTGAATCACAGCCACTCGAGTCATCCCCTTTCAACGCCTCCCCTGTGAATTCCCCTCATGTTTAATGGAAATACGTGTGGTTGTTTTGCGATCTCTCTCTCTCTCTCTCTCTCTCTCTCTCTCTCTCTTTTTGCCAGGGGACAAAAACGCAAATGGAAGCTGAACTGTTGGCAAGGGATCAAACGACACCCAGAGGAAACACCAGTGGAAACACCTCGTGGTGCGATAGGCATTCGGAAGGAGGGAACGGACCTGGGATTCAATACAGGAAACCGCCAGTTGGATTGTTTTTCTTGATCAGACTCCGTGTCTCATTCTCTGCACCGATCGCAGGTCGTGCCGTACAAAAAGCCACGCCTTGGGGACCAAAAAAAAAAAAGCGGATGGAAGGTTCATCGTCAAGGGATCAACAACACCACACCCAACAAAGCCGTTTTTTCCCATAAAATCCACAAAAACGCACAGCAGAGGAGACACCAGAGGCCTTCAACAAAACGGAGAAACCCGAGCTTCCAACTTTTTGCTCCCGGCGCCTCCGGGGCCGTGGGTTTTTTCGCCTCCGTGGGTTTCGCAGCGAGGAAGTTCCTCACCGCCAGCGGGGCCTTGCGCGCGCTGCTGGAGCTGAGCGAAGTGCCGCAGGCCCAGGACGCCGCGAGGCAGGGGGGGGGGGGACCCTGGAGGCCAACAAAAGCGGGGTCAGAAGACGAGACCGTTGTGTGGCTGTGTATATGGCGATTTGGTAAGGGGTCTTTGGTTTTGAGAAGACCTTTTTGGTTTGAAACTGGTCGGATTTTCCGTGTGGGACCTGCCACAACCAGTTGTTGGTTGCTGCAGGGCCCGGACACATCGCCAACTTTGCCAGTGGACATAGATGCAAAAATGCCAGGTGGTTGAAGCTTGACCAAGTGGGGAGTGTTCCTTTTTTTTTTTGGGGGGGGGGGGGTTCTCAAAATGTGTTTTTCTGGGTGGCAAGCTGGGTCCCTTCAAGCCTTCAAGTGCTGCATGTTGAGGAGTTTGTTCGTTGAAAATCCATTCGAGCTGACGAGCTAACCAGAGCCTCCCATCTTTCAAACCTGACGGGATCCTTGGTTTGCACCATTGTCCTGAAAATCTCTGGGGGGTTCCATGCGGAAGAGGGCCGGTCCAAGCCTTTTTTTATTTAAAAAAAATGTTTTAAGCGCATCTGGTTGTGCCGAAAGCAAAGCAACTTTGCAATCAACCAGCAACCAAAAACGAGGCGTCCTTTTTGCCCCATTGGAAATCCTCTGCAATCGAATCGGTCTGGTGTTAGCGCTAAAAAACCGAAGCGCTTCGGCACGCAGGCAGTGCCTGGCACAGATCCTGATCGTGACCAACCCGGCGCTGCTCCAGCGCGGGTCCCAACCCGGGGGGGGGGGGTACGCCAGCTAATATCCCAGTTGCTTTCATTTGTTTTTGTTGTCGAGAAAGCAGTTGAGGGAGGCTGGGAGGCTGCAAAGGTGTTCCAACGTGCACAAAGAACAAAGCAGCAGCAAGTTACCTCATGCCGTAGCTGTGAACCAAGCAGCCCTGCTGTCCCACTAGCAATGGCTACAACGTACTACAGCAGGTAATAGTAGATGGCACAACTTCCTTTCTACCGGGTTTCGGGGGTTGATGAAATCAACAGGGGGGCATGTTTGACCATTTCCCTAGTTGGAACAACGGTGGTACAAGGGTTACACCTTTTTTCTGAGCTCTGGATGAGCTCGGGCCAGGTATTTTGTTGACCCTTGGTCTTTGATGTTGACCCAGGATTAATAAAACCCGTCCCATTATAAGGGGGTGTTCCCTCCAAAAGTGATGAATCCCCACTACAACGGGACACCCCCTATTAATCAACCTCTGCAGGGGTTTATTAATCCGGGGTTCACATTAAGCCGATCAGGTACATTGCAGCGAGTCCCCAAACGTGGGGCAGCCCCCGTTTTCGGGATGTCGGTGTTGGTCTTTGCATTTCATTGCAAGCGCGCCCAGGTATCAGGAACAGCTGAGTGCGGTCAGGCCCGCAGCTTGGGCCAGTTCTGGGATGGGAAAGGCGCCCGCTTTGGGCAGTTTTGGGAGGCCATGTCTACACCCCCTGTCCTGTTTGATTGAAAGTAGATGGGTCCCACCGGTTTAAATGAGTTGTGTTCCCCGTATACCAAAAAAAACCCATAGAACACAAGGTCACCTATGCATACAACCCTTCAACAGGTGAGAGCCCTTACCGACTTCCTTTTTGCGAGTGAAGCCCTAAGCGCAGCTTGCGAGTTCGGCTCGCTGGTGCTCTGGTCCAGGCCCCTGCTGCAGCTTCTGGAGTCCAGAAACGAGCTCTTCCAGTTCGAAGGCCGGGGGTTGGGCGCGATCTGCGCCCAATCTGGGCTGTCTTGCGCACTCAAATACTCAGTTTCCCAAGGGGTGGCCCAAGACCGGAGATTCAGCCAAACTTGGAGAGGAGCTCAGTCACGCGAAGTGATAAATTTATGCGCGGTTGCCAAGGGACAAGCTTGCAGAAGACTCCCTAATCCGAGAGATGAGACGCGAAAACGCCCAAAAGCCACAAAACAACAGGAACCCGGGAGCCACCGGCCACCACACCAGAAAGCAGAACAACAAAAATGCCAAAAGCCGATGCTGGGGGTGTTACTGGTGCTGACGACGCAGAAAGCAACAGTTACAACCGTGCTATGCGAGCTCATACCTCAATGTGTCGGGTTTCCTCCAGCGCAAAGAAACAAATTCCTGAAGCAGCTCCAAACATCTCATCACCCCCATTTGCCCAGGGACGCCCCTTTCAGAGTCAGCTTTATGCGGGAAACCCGCAAAACAAAAGAGGATTTGGGCGCCATCCGCTGAACATCCTCAAACTTGCTCTCTAAAATATTGGTGTGAATCAAAACCAAATCACCACCCTCTTAAGGCGGGGGAACCTGAAAATGTAAAATTGCATTTTTGCCCCCCCCCCCCCCAAATCAAGGATTAAGGGGGTGGTGATCAAAACCAAATGATGATCAATTGAGACAACTGAATGCCATGAATTCCTTGAGCCGACCCAGTGGCCTCGCCCTCAACTCCGATATCTGCTTGCTGCATCAGCTCGCAACCGAGGGAACCCAATCCATCGAATATTGAGAGACGATATGACCGTTGCAAGACACAGTTTGTGCCTTTGAACATGTTGCCTTGTTGGTTGTCCTCAGGTTCCCTCTCAATCAGCTTCAGAAGTGGTCACTTTTTGAAGTGCCATTTGTTTTGAAGACCTAAGTCTGGCTTCCTGAGCCTGACTACAAGGCTCTCATTTTTGGTTAGGGGAATCATTCCCACGCCCAGCAGACCGTTTGAGTGGCAAGAGTTCGGACTTTGGTTCTTGGCCACTCCGAAAGTGAGACATGAGTTTGTTTCTTGTATGATGGCATCCCACAAACCCGCTTCGGTGTTTTTTTGGTTTCTTAAAAGAATAGCAACATCAAGCACGCCATTTCAACAAGAGACGACCTCCCAAAAATGAACGTGGCTCACATGGCAGCCCCCCCCCCCCAGTTTCACCACCGGACCCGCCGGAACCGCTGCCGTCGAAGCCGTCGCCGGGTTTCGGTCGGTTCCATGCTTGTTGTTGGGAAACATTCTTTCCATTTTTGCTTATTGGTGTTTAGTGGAAAGGAAGTCCAAATCCACTTAACTGCTAAAACACATAAATGTTGGCTCCCCTTCCAACGTCAACCCCCTGGTTCGGTTCGGGCGGTTCGGACGAGTCGAGGCGCCATGGCCTTGACGAATCTGCTGGTGAGCTGCGAGGAGCTCCGAAGCCACGCGCTGCCGCTCCGGCCAAGCTGGCTGGGACCGGGACGCTTCCCGGGTGGGTGGGTGTTGCTTCCCCTTTTCTTCGAGGCTCCTGGGGGCTTTCGGTGGACCCCGTTGGACGGTTGGGGGTCTCAACATCTAGCTGCTTGAGGGCCCTATGTTTTTTTTCTTCTTCTTTTTTTCCCGGGTTTGGGGCCCGGTCTCAAAACCTAGCTGATTTGAGGGCCAAGATTAAATGAATCGGGAGCCTCTGGGTAGTTTCTTTGGTTCGCCTTTGGCAAAGGGGAGGGAAAACCTCCTTCAAGTACCAAATGGAATTTCCCGGATTTCCTTTAAGCGCCAATGAATGGATTTCTTCCCATTTTAGGACAATCCAGGATGTTTGAGGCTCCCAGCAAGGCAGTGTGTGTCTCAAAATAAATGCCCTCCTGTCGTTGGCCATGGGTCCTGGTTTGGACCCTTCCTTTAAAGGGGACTCTGTCCCCTGAAACTGCGCTGTTGTGCAGCGAGCCGGAGACCGAGTGACTGAGGCAGTGCCAGGCGTGGAACCTCTGCAAAGACCTCATCTTCTCCGACAACCTGCAGGCCAGAGAGTCGAAAGGGACACCAGGTCCCCAGTAGTGCCCTACTAAAATAGACTACAGAAAACAGGGTACCCTTATTCTAACCTCTCTACTGGAGGACCTAGGGAGAGGTGGGGAGAGATGGGGCTGGCGGGCAACAAGTCTTGTTTGTTGCACGTGCAGAAGATGCCAACGGAAAGCGTTTTTGAGGCGCACGCCTGAGAGAAGCCACTGCGGTCCTTAGATCGATGGTGACACCTCTGGTGGCACCACTTGGAGTGTGATGCGGTCACGCTTCAAGGCAAAATGCGCCTTCGGTAACGCGGGCCCGCAGTCCCAGATCCTCACGGTATGAGTTCAGTGAGTCGCCATGGTTCCAGGCCAAACGGACTTTGTTCCATTTAACTGACAGTTGACCGTGTCATTGGGCCTCGCTGTTTTGTTTGGTGATTAGCTATTCGGTTCCCCACTTCAAATGCAAAAACTAAAAAGTAAGTAAATACATAAATGAACACCCCCCCCAACGGCTCATAGAGTTGCATGTTTTTTGGCTTGTTTTTGTTTTTGTACCCACCCCGCTAATGTACATCCAGCCCCAAAGTTCTTCCTCCAACCTCTTTTGTTTTGTAGGTTCCCACCCCGCGGCGGACACTCAGCCCCCCCAAAACACGGTTCCAAATCCTTTCCTCTAAGGGCCAAAAGTTGTCTGATTCCCCATTAAACCCCGGGACACCCACTTGTTAATGAACTGGGGTTGATTTATAATATGGGGTCAACATTACCAAACCAAAGGCAAAGGGGACCAAGTCGTTGCGGAACAGAGGGCCCTTAGACCAAAAACCAACACCCTTCACCGCGAAACCCACTCTAAGCCAGGCCTAAACACTTGACTTCCCTCGCCTCCTTCGTGGAGAAAAAAAAAAGCAGACCCCTGACTGATTTTAACCGAATCGGGATGGGCACTCAGGCCCCCAAACCGTTTCCTCAATCCTTTTTTGCTTGGCAGGTTCCCCACCCCATTGGACATCCAACCCCAATGGACATGGTCCAGGTTCCCCAAAAGAACTGGTTCCAATTCTTTCTCTGGGCCGATTTAGCTTTCCAGGTGCAGCGAGCAGGACTCGAGGCCCTGTGCAACCTTTGCATGGCACCTGAGGCGCGATGAATTCGCGGAACGCGCGCGGTGGAATTGGGTGCTTTTTTGGGAGTCGTTTTCTTGGGAGAGGGTCATGTTTTCTAAGCGCCGAGTGCATAGGTGTCATTTTTGTTGTTTTGGTAGAAAAATATGGCCCTGGTTTACCTGGTGGTTTAATCGTCTACCAGGGCCATCTATTTGCCCTAAAAGGACACCTATGGCCGAGTGAAGACGTCGTGGGTTTTGTTTGACTGAGTGCAGCTTTCAACCCACAGGATTGCGCGCGAAAGCGCAGTTTTCTTTCCCCCTACCGCTTCCGTCGATTAGATGCTAGCTTATTCAAGGATGGACCTGGTTCCGTCCATCTTTTCTAGGGTTTTACTCAAGTGGGTGCTGTAGGCGGAAGATGCTTTGGCTTCGACTATCCGATAGACATTTTCAGGATCACGGCTTGAGATTGCAGTCCGGTTTTCATTTTTGGTCTGCTCACGGTTCAGAAGAAGATAATCTTCTGGGTGAATTCTAACGACCTCACACGACCTCGCCCCAAATGGTGGTTTATGTGAGGAATAGCCCCCCCAACCACCGTATTTCAGGTTGGTGACATATTATAATTCACCCATAATTTTGCAAGTGAGGAAAACCCAGTTGTTCAGTGGCATCGTCTAAATCCCTTATGCCTCCAAACGAGCATAAACTTGTGGTCCTGAAGCGCTCCCAAAAGAAAGCTATTCAAATGAAACAAGGGGGAGATGTGACTAATTGTCTATACTACTGGTAGGTGCCCCAGCTAGGTGCCCTTTCTCACCGTCTTTTTGTTGTTGGGAGGGTTCCCCTTCTAAAGTGGTCAAAAACGAAAAACATCGGGTACCAACTTATTCTAACCTCTCAAAGCTGGAGGACCTAGTAGTCTATGCTCACTTTCGGCTTCTTGTTTCTCCTCGTGCTGTGGGCCTCCTCCCAAAAATTCCACACTCTGACTACCCCAGACTGAAACCCAGGAAGTTCATTCCCAAAAGGAGAAAGAGCCGCGCGGTTTGACGAGTCTGGGGAGAAGTAGAATCCTTAACCGGGACCGCAAACTAGCCAACCTCCAGGGTGCCCTTTTTTGTGGTTTGTCTTTAAAGACCCCCTCCCCCCACTTAGGGGTTTCCTAATTTCCGAACCAAACTCCCAGGGCTGGAAGAGCCCGTTCTTGGTCCCTGATGTCTCAAGATAGGGGCACCTCTAACAAAAGACCCAACGCTGGCCGCCGTTTTGCTACACCTCTCGATTGTGAATTCACTTTTCTCTCCTGATCTCCGCATGTGACGGAGAGTAACCCCAGGAAAATCTTCCAGATGATATGATTCTGTAGTTGCGCTTTGTGGTACCAGGGAGTCAGGACTCCCCTTCAAGCGTTTTGCTGCCCCATCATTTTACCGTGATCAAGTCCGAAGTGGGAGTTAAAGGGAAACCTTCAGCCCCAGTTTCTGACTTTGACCACCTTCAAAAACCGTCAAACTCGTGGCCCCTGTGGAAACCATGAGGAAAGGTGTTTCAAACCATATTCGACTTGTGTCTTGTGGGGACCTTTCCCGAAATTACCGAAAAAAGTTGCCGAAGTTCCAAGTCATGGCCCCAGTTTCGCCCCACGCCTCGCCTCGTCCAACAAAGCGGCGGCGTGGCAGGTGGTGGAGCGCTTCGCGGAGGGCAAGGCGGAGGTGGAGCTGAAGATCTTCGGGGCCTTCTGCCAGTCCGAGGATCGCTCGACGGGTCGGGGCGCGGATCGAGGGGGCGGAGGAGGCAAAAAGCGCGGGGTCTGGGGCGGAAGGGGTTTAACGGCTGGGGGAAATGATTGTTTCCTCCAGCAGGAGATGTGTTTGTGTGGTTGTGTCTTCGGAGACCTCCAGCGGTTCCTTTGCTCAACTTGCTCAACTCTTGAGCCTTCATTTGGTTAGGAATATTTTATATTTCCCCTGTTGGTTTTAAAGGGAATCTATCACTACTGGAACTGTTTTTCCTTTTTTTTCCATGAGACTTAAGCAAATGGATGTGAGAGTCCCCTGGAGCTTTGGGTCTTTTAAGGCTTTTGTCCCGGAACCAGGGAAGGGGTGTGCACGGCCCGGTCTCCCAGAAGTTTCCAAACAAAAGGCCCCTTTGAGCGCGGAAAGTAGAGGGCAAGATTGGTTATCACCATATCCTGGTTCAAGAAAATACCAAGCGTGCAAGCCAGTGGTTTAAACATAGGTGGCTGTCCTTTGGGCTTCCTAAACCAACCCCCGAACGGCTAGCCTGAAAACAACCAGGATGTAGCGGCACAGATCGCCTCTTCCGGCGCGCTGGCGATGCTGGCGCGATACGAGGAGGCGGGAAACGCGGTTTTGCAGACCTGTTGGTTCTCCGCAGAGGTGTCCGTTTTCGCTTAGTTTGATCAAACATGGATGGCACTGGTTTTGGTGGAGTTTCTTCCATTTACCAGGGGCATCTATTTTTTGCCAAAAGGCCACCTATGGTTCTCCGGCTTTTATTTTGACTTGGGGAGGTGAGTTCCCACCAAAAAGCGCAGCTTTTAGCAGTCCCTTTGGGGGATTATGTTCAGAGAGGTGATGTAAACTGGACGTGCGAGGGGTGTGTACGCAAGCTCCAACATGTTTGCTTGCTCAGTGACAAGGCCGTCCTCTCAGGCCTTGTTCACCAGTTATTGTAGGTGGGCTGGGTGATGCTTTGGCTCATGTTTGCTGCCACAAGTTGGAAGAAGACAAGAATGAGTGTGCTCTTACCTGCAGAAGGCTCAGTGAGAGTTGTGTGGGGAGAGTAGTCAGGTTGTATGATCCCTCTCGCAGATGCAGCATGTGGCCCATCAGTCGGAGGGACTTTCTGAGTGGGTTTCTTTAGAAAGGTCCGGTGGCCCAGATTTGACCTGCGTTCTTAAGGACTGCATGTGTCCACTAAGACTTCGTGTTGCTAGCGTGGGAGCCCTTGAGTTGTTCAGGTGGCCGTGCACATTGCGGCCTGCGAGCAGTGCGTGAGCGGGCTCCTGTACCTTTTGGATGCCGAGGAGTGGTCGATCCACGCGAAAGAGCACCTCCAAAAGAAGCAAAACGTGGACAGAAGCGAGCAAGCAGCAGAGACGAAAATGGGGCTGAGCCTCCAAAATGTTGGGGTTCAAACCACAGAATTAGGAAGTTGGGTTTGATTTTCCGGTTTCCTTGCACCAGCAAGCTTACCCTGGGGTCTTTGGAGAAACCCTGAGTCGTACCGTGATCTCTGGCCAAATCGAAGCTCTGCCGAATCCGACTCCCCGAAAGCCTTCGATCGAACGGAGTTTGATGTTTCGGCTTTAGAACCCCAACAAACAAGCAAACAAACAAACAGAAAACCAACCAACAAACCAACAAACAAACAAACAAAAACAGACAAACAAAAATAATCAAACAAGCAAGCAAGCAAGCAAGCAAGCAAGCAAGCAAGCAACCAACCAACCAAGCAAGCAAGCAAGCAACCAACCAACCAACCAACCAACCAACCAACCAACCAACCAACCAACCAACCAACCAACCAACCAACCAAAATACAAACAAACGAACAAACAAACAATCAATCAAACAAACAAACAAACACACAAACAAACACCCAACCAACCAACAAACCAACAAACAAACAAACAACAAAACACAAACAATCAAACAACCAACCAACCAACCAACAAACAAACAAACAACAAACAACCAAACAAACAAACAAACAAACAAACAAACAAACAACAAACAAACAAACAAACAAACAAACAAACAAACAAACAAACAAACAACCAGACAACCAACCAACAAACAAACAAACAAACAAACAAAACAAACAAACAACAAAACACAAACAATCAAACAACCAACCAACCAACCAACAAACAAACAAACAAACAAACAAACAACGAAAACAATCAATCAAACAAAGAAACAAACAAACAAACAAACAAACAAACAAACAAACAAACAAACAAACAAACAAACAACAACACAAACACAAACACAAACACAAACACAAACACAAACACAAACACAAACACAAACACAAACACAAACACAAACACACAAACACACAAACAAGCAAGCAAGCAAACAAACAAACAAACACAACCAGCCAGCCAACCAACCAACCAACAAACAAACAACCAAGCAAATCAACAAACAAACAACATAATGTGCCGAGGAGCCCCCACTGCAGCACCGCGCAATGGCGCTGGCGGCAGCTTTGAGCGAGGCGGACGGGGAGGCGGCGGCCAAAGCAGCAGCCGCGGCAAAGCAGAAGGTGCAGGCGCGCACATTTTTGCGGGTTCCTAGGTCCCCCAGTAGTGCCCTTTTACATCCTTTTTTGGGGGAGGGTTCCCTGCTAAAATCACAAGAATCTGGAACCCTTATTCTAACCTCTCTACTGGAGGACCTAGGTTCCCTTTTTCTTTGGTGCATTTTGCTTGGATGTTAACACTTTAACTGTTTGCAAACTAATGGGTTTTCCATTAAACATCTAAAAGTTTCTTTACTTTTAGCAGGGGGGGGGCACAGCGACCAGCCAACTCTAAGCAAGCTACAATCAAAACCTGGCATCATCACAGAGGTGTGCCAGAAATAGAGAAAAAAAAGATGTCCACACCTATTTCAGGCCGTACCCTTTTCTGAAGTTAGCCGGAAGACATGAGAAACTATGTCCAGTAGTTTTGATTTCCTCTGAATCCAATAGGATAAATTTATGATTGTTGGTTTCGGTTGACTGGTTTCCATTGAAGCATGATTGAAACTGGTTGGTTGCCATTGACTGACGGTTCCAAACCTAGGTCCTCCAGTAGAGAAGCTGGAATAAGGGTACCAACTTTTTCTGTAGTCTACTTTAGTAGGGGAACCCTCCCAAGCAAAAGAGAAACCGGTGAGAAAGCGCACCAATTGCTGGGGAACCTAGAAACTCACTCCCGTGCAGTCCCCCCCCCACCGTTTTTTTCCCTAGATGGGCCCTGGCCTTTCGCCTCCGCGCAGAAGGTGCCGCGCCGCAGCCGGTCCTGAGCGGCGCTCTTTGCCGGGCGCTCCGAGCCATCGAGCGAGCGAGCGGCGGCAGCACTGTCCGTTTTCAGATCCCCCGCTGAAAGTTCATAACTTTGAGTGGGTTGAATTCGGAAAAACAATCGCACTAAGCGCTAAAAAGATCTAAAAAGCTAAGGGGATGGCTGCAAACCACCAAGAAACCAGATACTGTGGATGGCTACGAAGTCTAGACATCACACCACGACCATGGTTGAAACCATAACGGTTGTTGTTGTTTACAGGGGAGTCATCATTCCAGGGTTTCTTAGGTGGTGACATATTTTCGTCCATCCACGATATGGGCGGCTCGTCTTTTCTTGGAGTTGGTGAGTTGGTACCCCTCATTTGGTGGGCTTCAGGTGACACCAAAGAGAAAACCGTCAGTTTTCATGGGTCCCCCAAACCCACAGAGTCCTTCTCGGCTTCTTTTGCGGGGAAGTTCCGTGGGCTATTTAACGACCAGGAGAGGGTAGGAGCACAGGGGAAGCATAGCGTCAACCAAAGAAGACTAGGCCCTTCAGTAGAGAGGTTAGAATCAGGGTACCCTCTTTTTCTGTAGTCCATTATAGGCCAAAAAAGTTGGTAGAAGGGCACTGCTGAGGGACCTAGGAGATTCAGGAAGTGGACAAAGCGGTGGCTGTAGCTTCTTGAGTCGACCATTTCCTGGATGCGTTCATACTGAATCATGTCTTCCAGCCTAAAATAGATCCAGGGCAATAGTCAGCATCAACATCATCCTACTGGCTCGATGGAGAGGAAAACCGCTCTGGCTGTTTCCGGCATTGCCGGCACCATTCAGCAGAAAGGCGCCGAGCGAGATTTGAGGAGGAAAAAAAAAGCGCCGTGTCTTGCTCTCGGACTGTGAGGCTCATTGCATTCAAACAAACTCGGCTCCCTATATTTCCCCTTATTTCCCTTATTTCCCTTATTCATACAAACAAAAACTGTGAAGTTCCCTATATTTCTCCTCAAAATGACCCCCGCCCAAAACAGCTCTCAAGCTCACCTACACAAATGAGGCCCTTTTGGGCAGAAGATCCAAACATGAGGCACCAGGGGTTGTCGTTTTTCACGGCAACCTTCAAAGTAAGTGGTCCTGTTTGTTCCCCTTTCAAAGTAAGTGGTCCTGTTTGTTCCCCTTAAACAAAAAAAAAAAAAAAAAAAACATCCGCAAAACTCGGTTGCGAAATCTGCCCCGGCGGGCGGGGCGGGCGGGGGGCGGGTGGGGGCGGGCGGGGGGGGGGCGGGCGTGGGGCGCTGGGCCGGTGGGGGGGGCGGGCGGGCGGGGGGGCGGGGGGCGGGCGGGCGGGGTCGGGGGGCGGGCGCGGGGGCGGGGGGCGGGGGGGCGGGCGGGTGGGCGGGCGGGGCGGGGCGGGGGGGTGGGCGGGGGCTGGGGGCGGGGCGGGGCTGGGGTCTGGGCGGTTGGGGGGGGCGGGGAGGGGGGCGGGGGGGGGGCGGGGGCGGGGGGCGGGGCGGGGGGCGGGGGCGCGGGGGGGGGGCGAGGGGGCGGGGCGGGGGGCGGGGGGCCGGGGCCCGGCGTGGGGGCGTGGGGGCGAGGGCGGGGGGGGCGGGGCCGTGGGGGGCGCGGGGGCGGGGTGGAGCGCGGTCGGCGGGGGCGCGGGGCGGGGGGGCGCGGGGGGGGGGCGCGGGGGGCGTGGGGGCGCGGGGCGGGGGGCGCGGGGGAGGGGGGCGGGGCGGGGGGGGCGGATCGGCGGCGGGGGCGCGGGGCGGGGGGTGCGCGGGGCGGGTGGGGGCGGGGGCGGGAGGGCGCGAGGGGCGAGTGGCGGGGGCGGGGGGCGCGGGGCGGGGGTGGGCGCGGGCGGGGGGGCGGGGTGCGGGGGCGCGGTGGGCGGGTTTGGGCTTGCGGGCCGGGCGGGGGGGCGGGGCGGGGGCGCGGGGCGGGGGCGCGGGGCGGGGGGCGCGGGGGGGGGGGCACTGCGGGCGGGGGAGCAGCGGGCGGGTGCGCGGGGCGTGGGCATCGCGGGGCGGCTTGCGCTGCGGGGTCGGGGCGCGCGGGGCGGGGTTGCGCGGGGCGGGGCGCGCGGGGCGGGGCGCGCGGGGCGGGGCGCTGCGCGGGGCGCGCCTACCGGGGCGGGGCGCGGGGGGCGGGGGCGGGGGGCGGGGGGGAGGGGGGCGGGCGCGCGGGGGGCGTGAGGCTTGCGGGGGGCGGGGCGCGGGGGGCGGTGGGCGCGGGGGGCGGGGCGCGGGGGGCGGGGCGCGGGGGGCGGGGCGCGGGGGGCGGGGCGCGGGGGGCGGGGCGCGGGGGGCGGGGGGCGGGGGGTGGTTGGGAAGATTGCGTACAATACGGCGCAGTGTGTTGCGCCAAGGTTGCGGTACGCAAACCGTGCAACACACACACACACAAAGGCACAAAGGCACAAAGGCACGTAGGCACATGCGCACAGACACAGGATAGACGCAATCCCGGGCATATGCGTCTTTTTTTATGCTCCGCCGCACGCTCTCATTTGGTGCGCACACTGCAGAAAAAGATTTATGGTTGGGCCGGGAAGGTTGCTGCAACCAACAACAAACATCCTCCCAGACATTTTGCTTGAGCAGCCTGAATGGCCCAACCACATCGGCGGCTGCAGAAGGCTGCGAAAAGATTGCCACACCAGCATTGCTAGGTCATGAACATCTCTCGGCATCACAAGAACAAAACTGTGTGTGAGCTAAATATATCCAGCCACCCACATATCTTACCAGCGTGACCTGTTACATCTCGTGCAAATGTGCGACGTGAAGCTGTGAGCCACACAAGGAAGCCAGAGAGCGCCAGCTACGCAAACGCTTTAACAAGAGGCAATTCCCCTACAGAGCGTGCAGAAGCTGACTTTTGATTTGCCAGAGACAAGAGGCAATTCCCCTACAAAGCGTGCAGAGGCTGACTTCCCATGTGCCCCAAAGAGAGACAATTGCATAGAAATTCTTCTTGTTCTTAGTGTTGTCCTGGCAGCGTCAAGAACATAGCCGTCAAGTGCTTGGTGCAGTTCTTGACCCGTTTAGCTTGGCGCGTGCGAGGCGGGCCTGCGGAAGCGCACTCCTGCTGCGCTTGCCCCTGGCGCCCGCTCCAAGGTGAATGGAGTGCGCTTCCGCATGCCTGCCGCAGGTCGCTTTAGACCTCGGGCAGCTTGAATGGCCTCCTGTTCCATCTGCCGCTGAGCAGCCAGGGGCAAACTACAACGCCCTACCGCCCCGCTTGCGTGCTGCTCAGCCACCCACGATGACCACATCCTCGTTGTCCACAAGGGCGTCCCCACCCGTCGCGCTAAGACATGCCCAGCCGGCATTTGCTTGGCGGTGGGGCTGTGTAGAGCAACGTGGTGGGGCAAGAGCTTGGCCAAGTGCAAGATGTTGAGCTTAAGCTGCAGAGTGCTACGATGCAGCTGCTGGACCTGGCGAAAGGCTGCGTTAAGCTCCGCATGCAAGGCCTCATTCCCCGTGGTGCCAGACGGAAGCAGCACTAGCGCAGCCGACGTCATGGACGTCCGGAGCCGCAAGTTGTTGAAGAGCCACTCGAGCCGATCAGCGGCCGTGAGGTGATAGAGAATTTTGCCCACCGTCTCCCGGGTACCTTCGATCTTGCGCTCCAGGTCCTTGGAGTGCTCCCGCGCCAGAGCAGCCACGGCCTCGATGAACTGAATCCGTGTAGGCCAGGCAGCACCGAGGCCAAGACGTGCCGAGCCCGCCGCAGCCCCAGCGTGCCCTTGATGATGTGCTCCCGTAGGGCGTTCTCCGGGGCACTTAGCCGCGCCGGCAGCGAGCCGTCGTAGGGCGCCCCCCAAATGTTAACAGCCAGCGCGTTGTCCCTCGGGCAGAACTTGGCCAAGAATTTCCGCAGAAGTGCTGACCCAGCTGTCTTCCGGCCGTTGGTAGCTTGCTCGTAGTGCATGGCGGCGTGCGTTCCATCAAGCACCAGCGCCTGAAGATTTGGTAGAACTGCTTGGAGCTGCCCCATCAGCTTCGCAGAGGGGCAGTCGGACGCCACATACTTGACACGCTGCAGGGCTTCTGCTGGAAGAGCATCCACGACACACGAAACAATATGCTCTGCGCGTTCTCCGATGGCAGGCGCCAAGCCCAGCACTGCCCCGCTCCTGCCCCGGATAGTGATGACACGCCGGAAGCTATCTTCGTCTGTGAATGGCTGCGCTGCTCGTTCAGCGGCTGGTGCGTTGAAGGAAGCTTGGCCCATCAGCATCATGCAAGCTCGGAATGTGCCATCTATAGATAAATACTCATACTCGCCGTGCTTATTCGCAGTGCTAAGAAGGTTCTGCTTCAAGGCGACACACGCAGGCGATCGGAGGATATCTTCCACCAACGGCCACCAAGTCGCAGTGTGGCCGGGCAGCAAGTTGGTCAGCACGTTACCAGCGCTGACTGAATCAAGCATGAGACGTGGCCAGACTGTCTTCACCTCAGGGATGCGTGGGATATAGTTCGTGCGAAATTAACATCGATCTAGTTGCTACTCCGGTCCAGCCTTGGCGTGCTGCAGCAAGATCTCCTGGAAGAGGCGCTCTGCGAAGGCGCGGGTGTACCAGATCTTGCCGACCCTGCGAGCGATAGTGCCCTTGGCTAGGACGGCCACGTTCATGAGTGTCGGGCCTCCGGCATCGAGCACCAATCGGAAGCCTCGATCAATGTTGTTGTTCTTGATGGGAAGCCCAGGCTTCACAAGCTCGCGGATCACCTTCGCGCTTCTTTCCAGGTACCGGCCACCACGGCTCTCAGCCAGCCCACGCGCGAGCAATCGCGGAAAGCTCGAAAGGGGCAAGCCGGGCAGCGGTACATTCCGCCCACGCATTTCAGGGACCCGCGCCCTGCCCGGGCGATGCATGTCAGCACCTCTTGGCGCAATTCTTGCAAAAGCACCGCGTCCACCGTCACCACACCGTCAGCATCCAGCCAATCAACGCCCGTCTCCTCGCCAGCATCTTGCCCCAACCCCATCCGGTCGACATCCATCGAAAAATCC